AGACGGACAAGATTTAAAATATATATTCATTATATCACAATATGACGCAACTTTACCATCTCAGGGATATGTCTTATTTGAATAAAAAGAACTATCTGAATCCTGTACAATTTAATTTTTTTTTTCCGAAATACGAGACAGAATTGAAGAACATTTATTTTGTAGTGAATGTATCTGTATGGTAACGAATGGAAATTCCCGTTCTAAAATGCAGTTATTTTGTGGTCGAATGGACTTGGAGGCGAAAGTAGCCCGTTTGAAGTTACGATTCTGGCATTCATCTAAAGAAAATACGGAAACAAAAAAAAAAATGTAATGGGTAACCCGCTGGGATTCAAACTGGGTACCTCTCAAATGCAAGTATATGTTTCCGCTACACCACGTAGTACAGACACACGATTAATGTTGACTGTTGTTCTCAACGTGTCTAGGGGAACAGTATTTACGGAGCTTCATAAGCTGTACGTAGCCCATGCCTGCAAGGAGTATTTGGAGAACTGGCCTCAACTTGTCAAATATTGTGGATACAGGTGAGTGTTCGTGACGTTTTTATTTTCGTATATTCTGAATTTCTGAAATACATGGAAACTTATTGGCAAGACTGATTAGATCAAATGGTCAGCAGATGACGCTGCTTATATATTTTATCACAGCTGAAAATATTCTGTATTTAAGGACTTTCCAGTTTTTTATATTACTTTAACTTTAGACATTGTTTTTCTGCTCATACAGGGAGGATAACATTCCACAGCTTCAAGATGTTAATTTGTTCTTGAAACGTAAGTAAGTTACAGTTGCATACCAATTATAAAAAGAGGACAAATATTCTCTTTATTGTATTTACTCGTATGATGATTGTGATAACATTTCCATTGAAGGATTTGAATTTATTTATAATTATAATTATTAAAAATTATAGAGCTGGTTCAAAATTCTTTGCTTCTCTGTGTTCATAATCAGCCTGCCAGTTCGATCCAGTTCTCACTGTCACACCGTGTGCCTCCAAAATCCACTTAACACTGTCCTCCCATCTATGCCTAGGTTTCTCAAATGTTTCCTTCCCTTAAGGTTTTCTGCCCCACACATCTCATTTTCTTTAATTTGATAATCCTAATAACGTTATGAGAAAAACACACACGTGAAATTTCTTAAGAGGTCAGTTACTCCTACGCTCTCAGCTTCAGATATCTGCCTTGGCAGTTGTTCGTAAGCATCTTCATTTCCTGAATATGAGACCACGTTTTACACCCATGCAAAACAGCAGGTAGATTTAACATTGTATGGTTCAATATTCTAATGCTTAGACAGGAAGAAGGAATATAAAATATTATGAACTGAATGATAACAAATTTCCAGAATTAAATATACTGTCAATTTATCATATATATAATTTTAATTTCTTACCACTTCTGGATCATCTGCCAAGAACGTATATGAACAGGTCCCAGTCCGAGAAAAGGATGGAAGGATCCTGTTCATATGGACCTGTCGTCAGACAGAACACTAAATAAAAAATAATAATTTAGTATAGTGATTAGGCTATGGGCCGGACGACCAGGATTCTGTTCCGAGCGGGCCATTATTTGTCACTTTGCGACAATATCGAGATTAGTCCTGAAGCCCACCCAGCCTTCTATTCAATAGGTACTGGGGTTATTTTTTAGGGGTAAATGGCTGACCTTTCATCTCCATCCAGTACTGAGGTTAAGAATATGTGGAGCTGTAACTTTGCTCCTGCATCTGCATAAGTCTGCATTGTGGTTAGACACTAGGGACAACTTTACCTTTTACTTCAGCCTTCATATGCAATCAATTGGTGCAATTAAAACAGTGCTGCTTTAATAGTTCTGTGTACAACTGAAGACATAATACTGTTGGAAGTTGATAATTTTGTTGACTGATATCTATATTTCATTTTTATTTCATCAGGAAAAACTGGTTTCCAGCTGCGTCCTGTGGCAGGCTATCTGTCTCCTAGAGACTTCCTATCAGGACTTGCTTTCAGGGTGTTCCATTGTACACAGTACATCCGCCACTCATCAGATCCATTCTACACTCCCGAACCGTAAGTATTTATTGGTCCAATTGTAATTTTTGTTCTGCTAGTAGATGGCACTTAACATCGTTCTGATAATTTCCCATTTAGTTTTCAGCATGAAGCTGGCATGGACGTTAACTGTATGTTGTGTTGCAGGGACTGCTGCCACGAATTGCTGGGACATATGCCGCTGTTGGCTAACCCAAGCTTTGCACAGTTCTCACAGGAGCTGGGGCTTGCCTCTCTAGGAGCCACTGATGAGGATGTGCAGAAGCTAGCCACAGTAAGAATTGACTAATAATTATAATTAGTAAAAGGAAAACTACAGTGTTTCTATCTATTTGCCTAATTTTGTATAAGATGGATTCATAAATTTTGAGATAGCACTACTGCCATTGTTCAATTTGTTATACTGTTGGTATTGGTATCATTGTCCCTCAGTCAGGATATGTGGGACCTAAGTCATTCTGTAGGTCATTTATAGTTACAGTAGCAACTTCAGAGTCGCCCTTGATTTCACTTTAGGTAACTATCTTTCCTTTCCTTTGCTGAATAACTGTCAGTTGTTCATAAATAATCCTGTACCACCTATGCCTAGATCTCTCAGGTCATATTCTCTGATATTTCAAATCAAAATCTTGTCTACTTATCATTTACCTTATGTGCAACTGTTCTGCCTATCTTCTCCTTCTTGATATAATCCTAACAATTTTCAGAAGTTTAAGTAATGGGAGTCCCCACTGTATAATCTGCTCTATCCATCTTAGGTCCAAATACTCCCCTTAGCATTTTAAAATAGAAGAAAGATAAATCTTAAAATGAAACATCACAAGTGTGAAGAAATTACAAGAGTTTTCATCACATATTTTTCTCAGCAACTGACATTGTCTCCCACTGTTTTATTGTTTATTATTTTAAATACATTATAATGTTTTCCAAATGCAAATAGTTCAATATCATAAATGATTCTGTTGTTCCTGACCAACTTCTTTTGTTTCATAATGGATCTTTTATTTGATTTTCAGTGTCCATCTGTTGTCTTTATCATCATCTGGCATTACCTTTATTGTAATGGTATAAATATGTACTCATAACTAATGGAGTTAACTCTAGAAATGGCAGCACAAATTCATGAAATAAGAGCAACTTCTTTCTCAGGAAAGGAAATGGCAGCACAAATTCATGAAATGTTAAATAAGAGCAACTTCTTTCTCAGGAAATACAAGTCAAAACATGCAGCTGATAAGAAATCAGCTGTCACACTTTGGAATATTCCTACTTGATAACTGTCACTTGTAGGGTTCAGAGTGCCCTTTATACACCACATGCTTGCAGTTTTCTGTTACTTTGTTTCTTGTAAAGTGATTTTAATGTTTGTAGTTGTACTTCTTCACTGTGGAGTTTGGACTGTGCAAACAAGAAGGCGAGTTACGTGTGTATGGAGCTGGATTACTGTCCTCAGTGGCCGAACTGCGACACGCCGTGACGGCTTCTGAGAAAATAAAACGGTTTGATCCTGAAGTGACTTCTCAAGAAGACTGCATCATTACAGCCTTCCAGAATGCCTACTATTATACAGACTCATTTGAAGAGGCTAAAGATAAGATGAGGTACGCAGCAATTTAGCAGTAAAACTAGTTCATTTAATTGTTATTGGATGAGACTACCTTTCTGTGGAGCTGCGTTGCTGAAAGGCCCATTGTCAGTTGCCCAGATGCAAATATGGTGCAATACTGATAAGAAAAACCAAAGGACTCAGACAAAACCTGTCCCAACACCACTTTGTCCATCAGAAATTCCACATGGACTGACCTGGGTGTGAACCTAGGCCTCTGTTAAGAGGAACTAGTGACTGACTGCCTAATCTGTGGCATGGCTACAAAAATACTATTTTTTAAAAAAGTTTTCACCACTTCAAGAAATTTATGTGTATATTTTTGTTTCTGTATGGTTTAAATTTTTGGATGTATCCTTCTTATGCTCCATCTCTCATAAAAATTGCACACGTATGCAATAATAGGAAATTATTAAATTTCAAGAGGAATTTCAACTCCCTCTGTCTTAGAAATTACTGTTGACTGTGTTCTTTTCATCTGTTTCAGTTAAACATTTGCTGCACAAATTTTAAATGGCTGAAGTATGTCTGCCAGCTGGAATTATTCTGTGCAGGCATTTAAATTTTGCTGTTGTTATGTCTGACATTCATTCTTATTGGAAAAACGTCTGTATCTATGAAAGTGTTTGTAATAAAACATAATACAAACAGAATTAAACAAAAGTAATTGACGAAGAAGGTAGTGTAATCACTTTACATATAAAGGAATTCTGTATTCCAAACAAGATATGTCCTGTAATAATGTGAAATTTTACTTATGTTACTAAAGGAAGATACATCCACACATTTGATGTTATAAACTTTCAGTTGTCAAATTAACCTTTGTGTGGTGAAAACAAAAGCAAAGATCTCTTTACTGTCTCACTAACACTTTTATTCCCTTGCTCTGTCACCAAATCATTTACTATTCAACACAGTCATCTGCTAATTCTCTCACTCAGGTAATCAGTTTCTTGATCATTCAGGACTTCCATTTTCACTTTCTTGTTTCCCTGCTCCCAGACTTTCTCTCTGTCATTCACTTCCATGTTTTCTCACTCAGCAACTCTCCTTTGAACAGTGGTGTTAGAGAAATGGGAATTAAATTTTGCTAATAAAATATATGAAAATATCCAGCATAAAAAGGACTCTCTAAGTACTGTGTGTTTTAACAAGCTACATTGAATACAGATGTCTTGAATACCTTATTTGTTATATTAAATCGAAGAATTGTTATAACTGTCATCAAATCCTATATTATAATTGTCAATTTTAATATATTTTTTGCATCACTCTTATAAATTGCAGGGCGTATGCTGGCCGCATCCAACGTCCGTTTGGAGTTCGTTACAACCCATATACACAGAGCATAGAGGTACTCAGCAATTCCCAGAAGATTGCAGCTCTTGTATCAGAACTACGTGGTGATTTGTGTATTGTAAGCAACGCTTTACGTAAGATTCATGATCATGATGAAACTGTTGATGTGGAAGGGATTACCAGTCTGTTGCATTCTGGCATTCAGCTCGAGGAGGATATCATAGGAACTGAGAAACATTGAATGTAGCCCCCTCAGACCAAATAATTGCCAATTCACATTGCTTCATTGAGATTAGTATCAAGCTCACTATGTTTACTCAAACCTAAGACGTACACTTGATTTATAACATGTCATGAGGAACAATAAAAGCTATGAATTTGAGGTGCCCTCCATTTTATAACTTAAATCTGCTGAAAAATAATACATTGTAATGGAACTGAATCTGTGGAAATTTTACTAGACTTTTAGAGATATAATTTGGAATTGGAAAATACCAGAAAAGTTACATAACATAAAAATATTACTTGCCTGTACTGACATCAAAGAAAAACTAGGATCTGAGCTAAATAAAATGTAAAAAATTAAAGAAGTTGTGGAGATGAAAGTTCTACAGGGTACCAAGAAAGTAACATTAAGGGGCAAAACTCAAATGCAGGTCATCAGGCACACTAAATTATGATCACATTATTATGGACATAGGTTGCACATACATTACAGTAAGATTCTTATGAGTATGTCATAAATTAATGTCAAACACTAGATATTCCGCCAAATGTCACAATCAGAGTTTTAGAACTCCTGCTTTGTATCCACAAAGTTCTATATTCAAATCTTGGTCCATAGACCAGCTATTTCTGACTGAGGGGTTTTGTTGTTTTCGTTAGTCCCTCCTGGTAAGTTCTGGGACAATACCTTAAATTTGGCCCATTACCACTTTCTTCCATATCCTTTCCAATTCATTCTTCACTAATAAACACATCATTATATGCTGTATAATTGTATCTATTGATGGTGAAGTAAAATAAATCTTAAATAAACAAAATCCATACATTCCTGTACATCAATATTTCATGCACATTCTTATTTTAAGCATGTGCACTGAATTTTCAAGTATCCTTACTTCCCAGTCAGCTCAAGATAACTTTTTTATGAACAGCAGTGGTTGATGGCTCCACTCACTCGACTCCACCACACACTTCTCTTATGCCCGATTCACAGCTCTGTTCTTTCCACACTCATTGCTTATCGCTTGCCACCAATGTCCGCAACAGCATATCGCTTGCAACTCACTTCTACATCCGACTCACACCTCAGCTCTTTCCACACTCTTCAAAGGCGCTTGTCAATCGGCATTTAAACAAATGCAACAATGTCTATAAACACACAACAATGCCAAACGCAACTTTAGCTATAAACAAATACAACAATGTCAATAAACAGACACAATTATAAACGAATACAACAATGCCAAACGCAACAATGTCTATAAACAAACAACAATTATAAACTAATGCTCTCACGGCTACACGTCACAGTATCATTGGATCCTCTTTTAAATTCCTGGCGTGTTTCGAACCATCTACCGTCAGTAGATGTAACTTATTACAATAGTTGAGAAATATCTCACGAGATGGCTACTACTGTTCGTCTACTGACATAGGTGTTGCTACTACGTCACGAAGGCCGTATGACGTCTTGTATTGTCATTGGCTCAGTTATTCCTGGTGGCAAGGTGCTGTACCAGGGTTCGACCGAGTGTTGTCGCTTGCCTACTTCGATTCGTCCTCTCTGTGTCTGCAGCAGTCGAACGGCAGGGTTGTTGCTGTGAGTTCCTCCAACAAATTTAAATTTTTTTCGACCACTTAAGGAAGTGACCAATAGCCAACATGTCGCTAGGGGATCCAGTGGCTTTTATGAAAGATTTCGTCGCCGGAGGAGTAGCAGCGGCAATCTCAAAAACCGCCGTTGCGCCTATAGAACGCGTAAAACTGCTGCTGCAGGTCCAGCACATCTCCAAGCAGATCACAGAGGATCAGCGATATAAGGGTGAGTACGTGGTCAGTTTATTTTATTAATTTCTAAAAAAACTCCCACTTCGAATTTGGTATTGTACAGGCTCCATTAATCGGGAATACGTGGTTGCTTATACATGGATCCCCGCCCCCCAAAAAGTAGTGATTGTGTTTCTTTGGACCGGATGTAGTGATAATATAAACGCAGTGCGCTTTTTATTGCATTTTTTGCAGTATGAATAGTAATGACCTACTTTCCTGCAATGGACCGTTGAATCGATTGTAATCATAACCGGCGAAAACTGGTACTAATAACGAAGTAGTGTGTATTTCATGTTACGAAATTATGGATTTTTAGAGCCAAGGTTCGTAAAGTTGATACGATGAGAGAAATTTAAGTAACGCGTGATTTGGCGAAACTTCGATAAGCTTGGTAACGTCCATTTTGTTGACACGAGGCGAATTTCCCATGCACAGCACAAACCATGCCCTTGGGTATTGTAGACACTAATTTAATTTGTCATGTGACGTTGAACGTCGTAAATGCAGTGTCTGATTATCTTATCTCGAAGTGTGAAAACTCGTGATGGGTACACCAGCTGTCTGTAAAGCCAAGTTTCGATAGGGCAAAGCCGCTCATGCAAGAATGTTCAGTGACTGATGCCATTCGTGTAGTTTTCCATATTCGTATCTCTGCCGTTGTTAAGGGTGTAATCTGTTCAGAATTAGTAGTTATGTGGAGAGTAATGTAACGAATAGTATAAACCAGAACGTTCTGTTTGCATTTTTTTACCGCCGTTATGAGAGTTAAAATCGTTTTATCGCAAGGTGGCAAGTCTGCGCACCATCGACATCCATCTTGGGTTGCCATATGTATCTTGCGTAACAACTGCTTTGCGCGCAAGATTGTGATATGTACTTCGGCCTTCAGCATTATAAAGTCGCGGTTGTAAGTATTTTACCCAAAAGATATCTCTCTCTAATCGTATTCATGACAGCTTCGTGACCCCACATTCGTTGCTTTAGAATTATTTTATCGCAAGGTAAATTCATTTTATTATTTTCTAAATATTCTAATTCTGTGATTCCCAACAATCAAATTCGATAGTTTTCATTCAGTTGATAGCTCGACTAGAATAATTTATTTTGTAAATATTCTAATCGATGGTTTCGAACAATAAAAGTTGCCAGTTTTTATTCAGTTTTGCTCCTCCCTAACATTTACAGATAACTACTTTCTATTCGTATATTCGGCTCGGTCAATTTAAGTGTACCAGAGTTGTTTGATTAGTAGGGATGTGTGATCGAAGTGTAAATTCGGCACGTAGATTCGGATCAACCAGTTTTTTTGTTTTTGACGTAAATACGTCTATACGGAAGGGTCATTCGACAAAAATGTGTAACAATGGTCAGCTTGCGTGAATTTTTGTTACCTAGGAAACGTCATCTGTTTATTCGGCATTGTTGTGTTATATTACTGCCGTCAACAATCCTCTTAACAAGATGGATGACATTGAAGATAACATTACATTTCATTACTTTACATTACATTACAGAGACGTAAATATAAATTAAATAGAGAGACGTATTTACGTCAAATTCTCCGGAACCGTAATTCCACTGTCACTTTTTTTTAGAATGTTAGATGAATGAATGAGCACTTCGTATTCAAGGAGTCCCTATTCGATTCTCTGGACGGCCAAGATGATTTGTCGCGAGTTCAAATCAGTGTACAAAAAGCCACTACCGCTTCCCTTATGTGTATAAGTTGTTGGTGCCAATCTGCGCACTTGTGAAAGTGCTGTTTACAACTCCATGTAGGTGAATATTGGTGTTGAAGTTAACAACCGCAATTGTTCTCGTCCGTGCAAGTTAATTGTGCGTAGTCGACCCATTACACCTTTCGTGAACATGACGTCGTTTCATAACCAACGAATAACACATGTTGGTATGGTTTCCAGTCATTCGAAATCATTGACGTAGCTTTAGACTGAACTTTATAGCAGGTATTTTATAACATCGCATGCTGAACCTTGCCCCTTGATAGTCGTGCTATTTGTGTAGTGGCACGATACCTACTTGAAATATTACGTAAGTGACTCCTACTTCGCAAGGACATGTAAATAGAGCTAGTGACATACAAATGCGAGCGCCAATGTTTTAGGAAAACGGTTTCAGTATTAAGTTCTGAAAATGTGTAGCGTTTATCTATGTAACTCAAGAGTGCCACTAAAATACTGCTGTCAGTTGCTTATGCCGTTTGACATAATTTGTTTTGTATACTGACATGTCAGTTTCGCGACGAAAGTTGAAATATTCTCTTCGTACGTGTACGCGATTTTTAACTTGTCCACCAAGTCAAAATGGTTTTAAAATCGGTAGTGTATTCGTTTCTTTTAATTCACTTTTTTCGCATTAGGTCTAGCAAACGCAGAACACGAATTATGTGACGATTTTGATATTGCGTGTCATGGGGGGGAGGGGGGGCTAGAGATTGAATAAATGATAGTCGTTTCCCCTGACATCCTTAGATTCTCGAGTCGGTTGATAAGAACACAATTCAAGATTGTAAGATGGTAAGGGCTGATGCGTGAAGGTTATTGGACCGATTTTATTATAAATATTTTAAGCATACATATGAAACATCCTTACCTTGATAGGTCATAGGTTTCCATTCTGCAGACGGGCCATGAGTTTGTCTACGTACTTCACATACCATACATGCAGCGAGTTCACGGAAAAAGTTGAACGTGTCTGTCACTTCCCGTCACCCGGCCGGCATTGTATTACACACCGCCAAGTGCCACAAGGTTTCCCCCCAATAGGATACAGTATCTATCCATGAAAATTAAATCATCTCACCTTTTTACTGCTTGAAACTTTGAACGCACTGTACAGTGTCTCATCTCTCGGCATTTTAACTTTAAGCTAGCCATTTGCAGCATGCCAGCAAGTGAAATTGTAGTTACAGCTGAGTGGCTTTGTGTAGGAGTGGTTAAAACAATATGGCGTCTAACCTCCACAAAACCTTGCAGTGCCAATAAAACCTACATTCTCTGTTTCCCGGAGATGTTACGTAATGGATTATTACTGTTAGTTGACCTAAATCTTTGTGTAGATTGAAGCGAACGAGTTTCAAAAAACTACAGCCTATAAAAGCTAATTGAATAAAAATTTACTTGGATATTATCCATCGTCTAGTAATAAAACGTAAAACGACGTTTCGGAGATGGGGCTCTATCTCCGTCTTCAGGTTCCTACTCAGTTGGGCCCACTAGATAGAGATAGGGATTAGCTCTACCTAGTGGGCCCAACTGAGTAGGAACCTGAAGACGGAGATAGAGCCCCATCTCCGAAACGTCGTTTTACGTTTTATTACTAGACGATGGATAATATCCAAGTAAATTTTTATTCAATTGACTCTTCACCATCGTCAAGAAGTTTCAGATTCTATAAAAGCTAGTCTATACATTGGCATAGTCTGACCACCTCTACCTTCGGAAGTGACCGACACCAAACTTACGTATTCGGAGTGCGTAAGTGATCCACGTGATGGTGAACGTCCACAAGAATGCCATACTGCTGTGGAGAATGAAAGATTTATTTTTTCGTGATGTTTTCTATCTGGTTCTCGTTTTCTTTATTTCTTTAGTTGGCATCTTGCAACTGGGCCGCGGTTCACGGTAGACTACCATTTCACCAAACATGGCACATTTCATTCAGCGAGGTCATTGGCTGTTGCATTATCATTTTGTGTGTTCCGTCGTAGGTATGGTAGACTGCTTCATCCGCATCCCCAAAGAGCAAGGCTTCCTCAGCTTTTGGCGTGGTAACTTCGCCAATGTCATCAGGTACTTCCCCACGCAGGCCCTCAACTTTGCGTTCAAGGACAAGTACAAGCAAGTGTTCCTGGGCGGTGTCGACAAAAGGACACAGTTCTGGCGCTACTTCATGGGTAACCTGGCTTCTGGAGGTGCTGCTGGAGCGACGTCCCTCTGCTTTGTGTACCCCCTTGACTTCGCCCGAACAAGGTCAGTTGTGACTTGAGTGCACTTGAATGTCGGAAGTGTTTGGCCATCCACGTGGAGCAGTCTGTTCTGCTGCTAGGAAGTCGGCATGAAACGGTCTTCTTGGGTGAAGTGTCTTAGGCAGAGTGCGACTGCAGACTTGTTTGTAAACACTGATTGTGTTACAGGTTGGCCGCAGACGTAGGCAAGGGTTCAACCCAGCGTGAATTCAGTGGTTTGGGTAATTGCCTTGCGAAGATTTACAAGACTGACGGACTAGTTGGTCTATACCGTGGCTTCGGCGTGTCCGTGCAGGGCATCATCATCTACCGTGCCGCTTACTTCGGCTTCTTCGACACCGCGAAGGGCATGCTGCCAGACCCCAAGAACACACCGTTCCTCATCTCCTGGGCTATCGCTCAGGTAAATGTTTCTCTCAGATTGTATGTGCCCATTGTGACTTGAGTTGTCAATTTGAATGTCGGCATTTAAACAAAGCCCAAGATGGGAGTAGGAAAGATGGGAGAGAATGTGGCCCCTAGATAGTTTGAAATCAGTTTTATTGTAGCTGAACACCGATCAGTCCTAGAGTTAAACTTGGGACCTCTGTTATGAAGTGTGAGTGCTATGCAGTCTTGGAGCCAGTGCCAATTGTTGCCTCTTCCACTCTTGCCGTAGTTCTCACACTTTTCTCTTCTCCTTCACAGACGGTGACGACTGTCGCCGGCATCGTGTCTTACCCCTTCGATACAGTACGTAGGCGAATGATGATGCAGTCTGGTCGCTCCAAGGCCGACATCATTTACAAGAACACGCTTAATGCTTGGTCTGTCATCTACAAAGTAGAGGGCGGCGCAGCCTTCTTCAAGGGCGCTTTCTCAAATGTCCTGAGAGGTACAGGTGGTGCCCTTGTGTTGGTACTGTACGACGAGATCAAGGCGTTCCTCTTCTAGAAGAAACAGGCCTGCCAACTAGATACATTAAATTGACATGAGCCATCCGTCATCTTTCCAACAGCTTATGTGGTGGCCGCAGAATCCGTTACCACATGACGAGAAGTTAGCGTACTCGATGTCTCCTCATCAGTAACTTAAGCGTTGATCAGATGGGCAACAAGTGGATTTGAAATGTGTCATTAGAATGTGATAACCAGAGGGTTTTTAAATTCATCATTAAAAAGGAGGATTAATAAGCTAACTTAAAAATATGTGGACATGTTTAGTAGGAAGTGATTACAATTAAGCAGAAACAATAAATAATCGAAATAAAAAGACTTTGTCATCTCTGAGAAAGAGATTTATGTTAATTATTTTGTTGGGCTGCTGGCAGCATTGCCCTCTAGAGTTAAAATAAACACACCAGATCTACTGGGCCGCAACAGAATTGTATTTTCAGTCCATTAAGATCCCGTAAGTGTCGAATTCTTCTCTGGTCTGTCACCTTCCCGCTGTCGCAGAAACCCTTCCCAGGATAGGAAATGCAAATCCTCTGTGTTAAGTGCCATTGTTGGTACACATGGCTGTCATCAAATGTAACTTAGTGAATAAAGTGGGAAAGTACGTGTATACCGAGACTTGCACCCTTTCCTTCAAGTTTACCGTGTTCTCTTCCCGATCTGTTTCCGCGTCGGACGTAGGTCCTCGTGGTGTTGCTTGTATCCAGATTGATGCAGTTGGTGATATTGGCAAAAATGGTGAACAGCGTCTGTTTAGCGGCAGTCTGTTTGGTTTAAGGAAGCAGATGGCAGAAAATGACATTTCTTGGTAAGAATGAAGAAATTAAAATCAGGTTAAATTTGGGAGTTTTTGCTGCTGTGCAGTTGGGGTATTTTCCCCCCACTACCCCAAGATTTTTTTTGGATTAAAACATTTACCTGTTTTGTGTGGGTGTGAAATGTAAAGGTGGAAACATTTAGGGTGTTATAGAGCTGAGGGCTGAGAATATTTTGACCTACAAGGGTTGAAGTGGTGGGAGGCTGGAGAAAACTACGTATCGAAATGAGCTCCGTAATTTGCAATCGCCAGAAAATCAAAGAGAATGAAGTAAGCACATCGACCATGTGGGGCAGATGAAATGTGTGCGGTTTTGGTTGGAAAGTTTTAAGTGGCTTAGAAAATGATGGTCGGAACGGAACACGCGCATTTTCCGTGGCGTTGGTGACTGCGGAAGTTGAAGCCAGAGACGGAGGCACCCAAAGCAGCCTCTTCATTGACGTCTGTTACATTTATATACAGTACCGTCAAGTTACGTCACGGCACTTTGCCAGGATCGGCGTGGTTCCACGTATAGATGCAAGGTCGGGAATGCTGGCAAGCAGGTAGTAATTGAAATAGACTCAATTCCAATCTCAGTGACCTAAATCTCTAATCTGGGAGAAATGCATTTATTTTGATGCGAGTCATCTGATTTGTCGATAATCTGCACGGCGCATGTAACAAAGCACTTCGTCCGTAAGGTCTCAATTTCGGTTTGTCTGTCGAATTCGTTTACAAATGGCAAAATCCAGTATTCACTACTGACTGCTCGCATCAGAGGTGGAGAGATAAAGTAAGGGCCTGTATTTCAGTCTCACCTTTTATTATGGAGCACGTTTCGATAAATATGAAAGTGACAAACAATTTACTCTTACGTAATTGTGAGATCATTTTAGCTGATAAAAATTTCTGTAGCATGTATAAAACCTCGGAAGTTCATTTAGTAAAATTCACAAACCATGACGATTTTCCCCATTGAAGCGAGTAGGCGATGTTCACGAAGATATCGACACAGAAAGAAAGATCCATGTTTAATATCGGTCCCTGTACCCATTAGAACACATGAAAGCCTGTCGTCTGTTGTTCGTTCAGAGGTTGCGGAACGAATGGTTTTAGGATCGGTCGTCACTCACCGCGAAATCTTGCGCATGCGCGTATATCGAATTCCTAGCAGGGATTTTCTCCTGATCTCACTGCGAATTTCCGGTATTATATATCGTATGGAGGGTGTGAAGGTATACGAGCCCATGTTCTTACTGGGTTAACGCTCGGTAAGTACAGCTTTAAAAAAATATTCAAAGCTGTGTATAAAACGCGTCCTTTAATTTCTGAATAACAATATTGACATACATCGTCCCAATTTCCAAAAGATGCGAATTCAGTATTGCTTACGCATTGATATCCCAAGTCGACAAGCAGTGCAAAAGATATTACGACACAGATTATCAAGTGCAGAGTTAAAATAACGTAAATTCATATCATTGGTATTAAATGTGTTATTCTGTGTGTAAAACGTAATAAAGAGCAAACATAACCTTAGATCTGAGGGTACAGCGAAATCATGGAAAGCTTCGTCTAGCAACATCACGAGATGTGGACTCCCACACGTGTTCTCCCTCATCTTCCTACTTCGACATCACGTGTGTCGTGCGTAATCGAGTACACTCTCTTCCAGTTGTAGATTAGCTGGTGTGTAGCGACATTATTAATTCAAGGACAAGTTCACAAGGAAATGTTCATGCAGTGACATCTCTTTTGTCGTCTCTTCAATCTGCTGCTGTCGTTTTTAAAATTTTCCTGCCTCGATTTCTTTTTCCATACCAGCATTTGTTACATAATGCTCGTCTTTTGGAATATATAATGTAAATATTAATATTTTATTCGTCTGTCACGTAGTTTATTAATGTTTCCTAAAATGTTCCATCGTACGTTCTTCTATGATCGTATTACAAAAGTAGCAGACCGATGTTACGTAAGCAGCCGTCCACCAGTTTGGTTAGTTTAACCATCAACTGGTCAAGATATTTGCTGCCGTGGAAGCAGAAAGCGTATCATCTTCAGAAGAGCCCGCCAGTGAACCATAACCTCACTTTGAGGTTTCCCTACCAAAGTTTTATGTGAATTTCAGAGTAAACTTAATATCCGTTCTATATATCTGTAGTGGACAAATTAAGCTGATCAGAGCTAAAGTGGCGTAACTCAACAAAAGTGCAGAAGGAGTGGTTTATGTGTATGTTTCCAGTTTAGTCCTTGTAATAAATTAAAATACGTTTGTACCTCAGCTAATATAATTTCCTAACCGAAACACCACGTAAATTACATTTTTATGTGATATTAAGGAGATACCTGATTATATGCGACAGAAAAAAGAATGGTTTGACTTATACCATTTTAGCTCTCAGTTCATTACAGCTCTCATTACGTATATTTTCTTTGTTACTTGTGGGCCGAAATATGTTTTTCGCTCAAAGTCAATGTTTTACAAACGTAAACAGACGGAAAGAAACCCTCCGAATTGACACTTCTTCTGGTTTCGGGAAGTCAAACCGAACTCTGCGACTGTGAAATGTTTTCCTGATGTCTGAAGTGTACCGAGTGACGACAACATCCTCGGAAAAGGGTCGCTATGACATAATACATGAGCATCGTGCCAAATAACTACGCAAGACTTACTGTATTTTTATCTCGTGTTTTACATCACTCGCAGTTCATCTTCAAGTTGGCAGTTGTAAGAACACCGAAGAAGTGCCAAGCTCTTAACGTAAATCGGTTACTGGGCTATTCAATGGCGTAACGTGTAACATTCTCAGCTGTGACGTACTATGGAAATGGCAGGGCATCATTTGGATCAATCGTTTGTTATGAGCAACAGAGCCATTGGTGTCCGACAGTAAATATTTTCACAGCATTATACCCGTGAGCAACATTACTATGAGGAATTTGATTAAGCAAAGGGGCATTCTAAAGGTCCTCGGGCCCCTGACAGCCCGATGTTTAGTTTATGCTGGTCCGTACTGCATGTAGCTTGCCGTAACTGAGGATAAAACAGAATTTTTTTAACTGGAACACGCAGTTTTGGAGTCTGTGGCTGCACCCCTCAGAAATCGGTATACAAATCCAGAATACTCGAGCAAATCATTTCATATGCCCTCGTGCATAATGTTTAATTCTTAAATGTTAAGTGTGGGTAATCATAAATCTATTCAATTTTAAAACCACACAGACGCAGTTCTGGATTGGACGTTCTTTTATATACGTCCTGCAAAAAAAAAGGCATAATAAATTCAGCTTTCGTAAGAATATACGGACTTTGTGTCACACTGTTCTTGAACTTTGATTAAACTCCAGTTTTTCCCATGTGAGCTGATTAATTTTCTTGTAACTTATCTGAGTGCTGTTACAGCTCGTGATTAAGTTAATGTAAGTTCAAGTTCAAAATGGAATTTTCTTAATATGTTGATCTGTTATGCATATTACAGAAGATTGTATAAATTGAAAGCTTCGTGCAATATGTATGCTGTGAGATGTTATGATAGAGACGGTTCACAGACTTTGTAAGTCACGAAACGGAACATAACCTAACATTTCCTTTCGTTTAGTTGTTTTCAATCCAGAACACTATACCTACCATTTTCTACCTGACTATGTGTGGATGACTACTCTACTAACCAGCTGTCTTTATGGACATTACTCGTCATTTATAGTGGGTATTGGGTTCATTTTATTTTGTTTTCATTTCTGTCACTGTATTGGCATACCTCTCCGAAGGTTGGTTGAGGAGCTCTTTCGAGAAATCGTTGATCTATACGATACTTTGGAACCATACCAGTTAAACGGGGTGCCCAATTTAATTTAACATACAAATACCTTTCTATAAGCTATCCTTAAATATTAAATTAATCTTATGTTATATCAATTTTTAATGAGAGGTGTGTGTTATATATTTACTAAGACGATGTAAAAAGACTATAAACCCAGTAATATTAATATTGGAGCAGATGCTTGCATGGACAGTTATGCCATCTCACTTGTCATGGAATTGAAATTCGTATTCCTGTCCAGTCTTCCGGTAGTTCTGAAGTGTAGATATTCTGTCCGTTTTGTAGTTATTTTTTCTTTGCTTCATGAATGCAAAATCTTTCCATTACATTTAGGTACCTATTATTTCGTTGCACAAAAAGGTAGGCACTTGGAAAGATTTTAAATCAACAGAATGCACTTCGATTTCATCATCGATCAAGCTCAGTAAGAAATGAGTTGGTAAGACTGAGACTCGAAAAGTATAAATGTCCCGACTATACTAAATATCGATTAGTGTAATAAACACGTGAGTTCACCGCCAACGCGAAGAGCTACGTACTCCACAATGGACTGAAACTTTCCCGAGTGGCACCGAGAAGGCGCGACTACTGCATCAACAAATACTAAACGGACAGGATATCTGCACTTTAAACTACGAGAGGACTGGACAGGAACAATGAACTTCAACTGAATGACAAGCAAGGTAACATATTTTCAGTGAAAATAAACTTAATAATATTCTACGATACAAGGTGAATAACTCTGAATAACATGACTTTATTGTGGAATTTTACAATATTTTGAACAATACAGTTTAACAGATGACGATAGCCCCATGGGGCTGAAACTCATTTGGCGTAATATTAGTTGGTGATAAAAGCGGTCCGAAAGTTGTGTTGTTCAGATGCTATTTCACGGTGTGAAGGGTGTGGAGATTCCAGTAAGTTGTTCAAACAAGCATCGACAGCTACTTCCCGCTAAAGGAGCAAAGTTACCGCGAAATGGATTCCAATTCCAAAAATAAAAATCAACGCTATCGCAATCAGTATAATGGTACATATGTTCCTACGGCACATAATATATTTGAAGGATCGGAACGGGTTTTTTAACCACAGGAACGAAGTTTCTGGACGTCTGAAACACACAAAGACGAAGGGTAAGAACAAGTAATTGTGTATCTGTGAGACAGGGAATATACAGGCTAATTCTGGGTTGTCCATTTAAAGGTTTATTAACGACACTGTGTCATATGATGAGGGTTATTTGGAGTTGAAAGAAATAAGATTATTATAAGTCGTTACGAATGAGATGTTAATCCGAAAATTTTGATAACTATTACAATACTGCACAGTGTAATAACCCAGGCGACCACAATCAACATTTTCATCGACATGTATACCTCAAAATTTGCGTGCATTGCTGGATTTTTTTATATATCCGGCAATCATAGAATCTCGTCTCTTGGATTTAATACGTCTTGAGATAAATTGACCATAGCGATGATAGGTGATGGTTACCGGTCTTTCAGTTAGGTTTAACTACATTTTGAATCTGATTCAAAACTTGAAGATACCATGACACCCAAACAAGAAAGTGATATGCCTGCATTTCAAAAATATTGAAACGTTAGGAGAAAAAACTTCAACCAGAATTAAGAGAAAAGTTATTGTGACATAAATGTTAAGAAACTTTCTGTTTAGAGTTTTACTTCAGTGTTTCTACATACAAGACCTACGGCTATTTTGATGAGGATTCGTCTTTATAGAAATAAGCTATTGCTAATATCGAAGTTATTCAGATAATCTAATGTGTCTGAAAGCTACAATAAAATGTTGATTTTTAAATATTTCCATTCTGTCGGAAATAAGCCAATAAAGGAAACAAGTTTAAAACGTTTTGTCCGCACGTACTACGATTAATTATCGGGAGTCGTTTAATTTTAATTGTATCTTTTAGCAAGAAATTTGTGGACATGTACAAGGCTTTCAGTCCACAAACAGTAATGGCAGCTATCCATTGCACCTGATAAAAAAAACATCATTTACGTGTATAATGCGACTGAAGTCGTATTTCAAACATAGGTTAAGTTGTCTCGGATCTTTTTCGTTTAGCATACTTTCCTTTTCTCTGTTAATTATCTTTTGTGTCACAAGTTTAGGAACAGAAACATTTTTTGGGACCTCTGTTAGTTTCGAATCGCGGCCGATATACTGTCTACCCTGACAGATTCTTTATGGTTTTTCTCAGCCCTTCAAAGCTAATTCTGTGATCGTGCCTTAAAACAGGCCACGGTCGTCCCCTGTTCAATCCGTCAAGATTTACTAGACGCGACCGATCTCTGTTATAACTAATTCAGCTTTACATAACTGATGCAGTTGATACAACGCCGTAAAATAATTACGATTTTTCGGTAACTTACTTTGGTTTCTCCATAGGCTCTGGGGGCGAACGTCCCTTTCCAACCGGTTTCTTTTCTGCCTCCTCCTTTGTCAAGAGCTGGAACTCTGCCTCCAGTTTGCCCTGAAAAGGAAGGTTTTGTCATAAATATACGCCCTTCATGAGAATTGTGGGCTTCAGGATTGTGATGCTGGTAGACGTGTCCTTCTACCCTTTAGAAGGAGACAACATGTTCCTCTGAAACACTCGTAACTACCTACGAAAATACATGGCGTCACAGGACAGAAAACCACAATCTACATTTTATTGCTTTAAATTTTAAATGTGCATAACTCAGTGAACCTTTTAAATAATCAATATTTTAATATCATTAGAACTGTAATTGTTTAATTTTAACCGTCTAATCACAATAAAATATTTTATTGTGATTAGACGGTTAAAATTAAACAATTATAATTCATCACAATATGACGCAACATTATCATCTCATCATTAGAACTAAAAAAATCACCCGGTGGATAATTACCGTTTGTATGGTCTTGTCGCCTTTGTCGGACAAGTTCTGGAAAGGCCACCAGCCTTTAATGCGACCTATTTTGAAGAGATTTACTGTGGGTGCGTCTTCTGGGGTGATACTGAGGCTGCATTGTTTGGCCAAAGGAGCGCCTCTAGGCATCTGTGACAGGTCAAACCTCAAAAACCCTGAAATAAACAAACGAAAAACCTTAGTCTTCCGAGCCGACGTTCTAACCCACAACCTCCTGCATACGAAGGAGTGATTAGCCTTCGTCCGTGACGTGCGGTGGTTACTGACGTTTCGGAAGAACACGTTGTTAGCCATTTATAAGACTGCACAGCGTCACAACTCAGAAGACCGAAATCGACAAATATTAGTGCGTCTTCATTATGAATTGTCACGAATACGATATACGTTTGAGGTTGAGGGTAACTTTATTCTTTAGGGAATGGGCCATATCCCGTGTTCCTCAAATGTGACGTGAGAAAAATGAACGGACTTTTAAAAATGCCATAACTAAGTGGAATGTTGATTTGATCTTATATGCAACATAAGGGTATTTGGGTATAGACTTGCCCAAAAAGTCATCCCCGGAGAAGACATCGTCGTCCCAGACTTCAAGGTTCATGCGGCATGGGATCTTTTGTTCGGCGAGCTTGTTTGTAATTATGGACTCCTTTCTCATGATGACATTTTTGTTCTCTGGTGCAAGATAACTGAACTGGAATACGAAGCGCCAATTGAAGTTGCCTTCCCCAGTGAATGACCTGTAGTGTACATCCGTCTTTTGGTAGTCCATACCTTGTAGCCACCTGTAGAGAGGCAGTAAGTCCATTTACACATACAGATGAGTTCTGTCTGCACGGAAAACTTTTCAAAATACAGGTTGATAGTTAGTTGTAACGTACCGAGGCTGGGTTGAATACACACAATGACATACTAAATATACTGATACAAACTTTTTGGTACTTAGGAAATCGTGAACTATAGTTAATTTTCTTTACATAATGAATAATTCAAATTACGTTTGGCTCCAGATTTGTTGAATGAAAGAGATTGTTATGACTGTATGACATTACCCTTTCACGTAGATGTCTGACATGTTCTCTCCGCTTACGACGTTGTATTCGTTCAATACCACATCCTCTGTATTCCAGATGATTACTCGAAGTTCGTATTCTTGCGGCTTTGGAGGGGTTATGTCCACCGGAACGGGGAGGGGCATCTCTCCCACTGGGAAAATGTCTACCCACATCTGCAGCTTCCCCTGCATCACACGAGCAACACTTCAAAAGTTAAGACGACGTGGAACTTCACTGGGCATGCCTGCTTAGTTTCCGAAAGTTCCCGATATTTTATAAAATAATCTGTCTGGAGGCGGTAGTATATCCACCTCCCGAAACGTCTATATAAAATATCCGACATAACCACTTTCATTAATCTTTAAGAGAGTTGTGGAACGATGTCACGAGCCAATAAAGAAGCTGTTGGGCCACTGAGACACATCGGGTTTTCCACATTTCTCAAAAATCCCAAAATCTGTATCTTCTTGCACTGGGCGAGATAAAAGTTCCACGAGTTTCATAAAACAACCGGCGAGCCATGATATTCGTTCCGGCGCTTTTCCACTATTATAACCAATTAAAAAATGTAAAAGGAATCTTCAGGTACATTGCGACATATCCCAACCGAAGACAGTGGTTGTGTGGCGAGAAACGGAACTTCTCTTTCGAGAGACTTGAGCGTTCTCAGACATTACGTAACCACTTGCCTCTGCGGGGACAGAGCCCGAAGTCATTTCTGACTTCATACACATAATTAAATGCCTAGTGTAAGATAATTGGTTCTTGGAACAAAGTTTCCTGTAGATGCTATTTTATTTCCGAGGTGAGAGTAAGTAAGGGAGGAATAAGAAATCGCATTCAGGATAACAAATGGGCCTGCCGAAATTTGAACGCACAGCACAATGATATTTCATTTTCGCAATAAACTGCCGTAATGAAATAAGTGTAGATCAGTTGGATATCGAATGTAATATTATATTTTACTCACTTGTTCGATACCAAGCTTCTTAGGATTGAAGAGAGACCTCGTCTCAACGTGCTCCGGCACTAGGTGGTGGCCAACATGTGGTACTTCGTGCCATCTTCTAATCGCGTAGAGTGCTAGTTCCTCCTTATTGTAGCGTGCACACACAGAGTTTGCTGTTAACAAAACAGCGTTTTCAAGACCCATGATCAGGCAAGGCAATGAAAATTAATATCTCTTCCGTGTAAACGATTTCATAAAACGTCGGAATATTAGCTACGAAGTGGTTTCTCTGTTAGAAGCACACAGTAAATAAATTCGCACATGTATGAAAATATCGACACCGTACACAAGACTCATTAAATAATATGTCTGTCTTCTGGGTTGTTGCTCCGTGTAATCTGGTAGAAGTTTACTGACGTTTTAGAGGTCCATGCTGCCTCCATTATCAGGGTGATGAGAAGACAGCTATCTTCAAACTCACCGCCGTGAAAATCTCAAATCCTAATAAGATTCATTAAAACTTTCTCTACAGAAACCGCTTTGGGTACCACATTCATTACTAATAAATTAATTATGACTTACTCGTGCCATGGCAAATGTGCTGCGTGATGTCTTCTTCGCATGGCCCTACGACAACGTGGCCGCCGATGTATTTTGGACTACCTAAATTATTCTTCCTGCATAACTCTTCTAATATCTCTGACGGTTTTAAAACATCTCTCCACCGGTTATATCCAGTCCTAAAACATTTTGAAAATGCATTTGTTCTTCAGTGCAATAATTGATTTTGTAGCATATACAGATGTCCCAGGAGGTAAGGTTAATAAGAAATCGCTTTCGTAGGGGTATAAAATTAAACTAAACAAAACAGTTGTTGATAATATTTTCTAGATGACGTTCAAATGACCAATAATATCGTGAGAATATACAGCTGACGTAACTTGCAAACTCTTGAAAACTACCAGATTAAAATCGATTGGTTCACTTACTTTTCGTAGCTGCTAGCCAGTCCACATGTCCCTCTGTGTTTGCTGTAAAATCTATTTTCAAGATCAATATTTGTCTCTCCTATGAGGTCATTCTTTCCAAAAACGTCGAAATCCATAACACGAACTGTCAGCTGGTAATCATTCGGTAACTGTGCCTCCAGCTGAAAGACCCTAAACAAAAACCAAAGGCCTTAAGTACTATACTGTCTCCATGTTCAGGAAAGAAGATGGAAATGTTGTAACAACGAGTCACACGAAGTCGCAACCCAGAAGTGTGAATATGAGTGGGTTCCCAGACAACGTCGCCAAGTAATGGCGAAGAAGAGGATTTCCCTGTCCTCTTTTGAATCAAGCCACAGATCCAATTAGGTTAATTCAGTACACATGTATGAGATCCTAAGAACTTATGTTCATGGAACCAGTTTGAGTTCGGTACCTGCCGAATGTAGGATTCAGCTCCTCTAAGATGTAATTTTCTTTATCACTGATTTTGAGAGAGCCGAGCTCGATCTCGATGTACGGGTCTGATTTCCCGGTGACGTCTTTGGCACGGAGTCCAGAGGCTCCCACGACGTACACACGAACTAAGATCCTCTCAGGAGCGTTGGATGGCACGTCTTGCAGTATTCCTCCTGTTGCGATGTCCGAACCACTGTTCGTCACAAACACAGTTTCCTCCTCGTGGGGCCAGCGGTACAGTTTCACTATTCCCTGAAAGCATCGGCATCTTTGAACGATACGTAAATAGAAACATCAGCGTACAGGTGACTCTCGTTATGCGCGGGATTTGCGGTTATTCTACAGATCTTAATGGGAATGTCGGCTATTTTGTATTATTCAAATTGCAGCTGTTACACAAACCTTTTTACAGTAATGGCTGAACAATGAGAAAACGGCTTCATGTATGCTAGGTAAATACGAGGCCCTTGCGTAACTCGCACCTCAGTTTGGTAACTCATTTCGTGAGCCCATATACAGTATATTAATATAAGATTCTGTAACAAAGTCTGTTGCGCTTCACTAGGAATTCTAGACAGCTTAAGGGTTAATTTTACTGCATTTAAAATAAACAATAAGATCTTCATTCTGTGGGCCTGCATCATAGCTTGCTTTCTCAAGTAAAATGTGCCCAAGTAACACCTACTTTCAACTTTCCAACAATGTTTTCTCTGTCATGAAAGTCGTTTCCAGTTTTCTTTCCTCTGAGAATGTCGAAATTTTGCAGGAAATCACAGAAACCGTTGAACTCGGGTTGTGCCTCCAGTTCGTTCGGATAAATCTGAGGGCGAAAGTAGAAAAATAGTTGCTTAAAAATGTGTTGCAAGGTAGATAGCAAAGTAACACAAATAATATTACAATTAATGTGTACAATAACATTTTATAGGGATTTTGGAATATTTATCATATTTAAACATCTTATTTCTGTGTAAGATTTGAGGTTTTCACAGCGGTGAGCATGAAGATTTCTGTCTTCTAGGTTATTGCGCTGTGTAGTCTAGTAGATGGTTACCAACGTTACCAGGGCGCCCTGATGACGGAGGCAGTATGACCCCTGCAACGTTGGTAAACATCGACCATACTACACAGCGCAACAACCCAGAAGACAGAAGTCTTCATAGTCATCGCCCTGATGACGGAGGCAGTATGACCTCTGCAACGTTGGTAAACATCGACCAGACTACACAGCGCAACAACCCAGAAGACAGAAATCTTCATCTTATTTTTGTGTTATCTGGTATAATTATTGTTACAAATGAAATAACTGATATATATTTAACTTCAGTATTAATAGATTCCATTATTCCAGTTCTGTAGTGTAGTCCTCAAAGAGACAGGAGCACATTAAAAGTACATTTGTTAATATTTAACCAGATGAGTTTCATGAAAGTCTCTCAAAGGACGCCCCTGAGGTTGTTTAAAGTAGCCCATAAAATAAATCAAAGTCAATGAAACTTTCACGCATTAATAGTTACGTTATCAATGGGCTTAAAATACCCCAGCTCAGTTACCCTTAAAATTAACTCAAATCAAGTGAAATTATATATAGGAATATTACTGCAGTGACTACAGAATTAAGACAGATGACAAAGCAGGAGGCTGCACAAAATTGAAAAACAAAGATATTCATAATGTCTGCACTCCAGTAAGTAGGTCTAAATGGGAGGTCAGTTCTAGAATGGATCTTAAATAGGGATTCATCTGGCTGAGCATTGGGACCAATGACGGGTTCTTGTGACACGGTAATGAACGTCGTTGGGTCCGTTAAAGGCAGGGAATTTCTCTAGTATCTGAGTGACAATTAGCTCTTCAATAAGGACTGCGTTCTTTGTAACTCGTAGTTTAGTGAAATTAAGAGTTAGCTTCATGAAGCCTCGAATAAGATCACTGAATGGGCATGTGCAATGAACTGGAGGGATTTGGAAGAAGTAGATAATGTGTTGGCCTAGTATTCAGAAGGTCCTAGGCTTGTCCTGACAGTTCAGAAAACGTCAGTATAATGACAACAAATCGGCTAAAGACGGACGCAGAGCCAAATCCCGAAACGTCGTGTATATAAAATATTTCTGATAATGGACAACGTCAAATATGTCGTGTCTAAAATATATTGCAGTATTTTACAAATTTCAGCCCTAAGTGGATAAACATACTTTGGTGATATAGGATTTGAGACTTTCGCGGCGAGTACAATGAATAAAATCTTCTCGAGCAATCTGCCGTGTTAGCTGGAAGTCGCCTGTGTACACAGGCGACTTCCGAGGATCCAGTCACATCAGAACCCTGAATATGGGGACAGAGTTTGTTCCCGAAACGTCGGTTTACTACGGTAACCAGCTAACGCGGCTGATTGCCCGAGAAGATTTTGTTGATACTTTGGTGAGTTTACCTCAAGTGTAGCCTTTCCTTGTTTTAAAATTGACTTGATTTTTTTGAGCAATATTCCATCGGCATCTTGGTGTTGTTGTTGCTCTGAATTCTGGTCTGTGAAATCTTCTTCGTCTGTTCCCTGATAACATAACACACTCCTTCTAGACAAGCACGTAATCAGTTTTTCTCTTCTTACAATTTTTAAAGTGGTTTATCAAAAGTCGTGAGATTATCTGCTGTGCTTTTGAAATTACATTTAAACTTTTTTATAATCAATTAAAAATAATAATTTTGACATTCATTTTCAACAACATATCAGGGGATTAGCATATTCAAAGTGAAGTATAATTTATGATCGATAATCATGAAGCCATTATCATCACAGTAATACATATGCTTGAAGCCCTAAAAATTACCTTAGCTTTATCTTTAGTCCTGTTGTGCTTTGTACAAAGTATAAGCAAAAGTGCATTCTTAAACTGTCATTTATGTCCACGGAATTTACTCCAGTGAGTTATGAACACAAACCTATTAATTTAGTGACGTCCTAGAGTCAAACAGGAAATCAGAAAGGCCTGAATTCAAACATTTGTCTTTTTCCTATCCTCGTATCATCAGATAATATGTAGGGTTAGTACGACTATGCTATTTCTTAATCTCGGAACCTATAGTTACTATAACTACAGCAGCTGGTTAACTGATTGTCTCCTAAGAGCTTAATAGTGGTTCAGAAAATTTGCAGTACACGAAATTACCTCTTTAGACGCGAAGTATTTTGTCCACCAGCTATCAGCATCATCATCGCGAGATTTTTCGATTATAGTCATTTCTATTTCATCTTCTGTCCCAGTGAATATTCCTGTAGGAAGTAAATTCAGAACCTGGAAGAAGAATTAAAATCAGTTAATATTATCTTGGAGCGTGTCAGGTCTCCGAACGTTAAATCGCTGTCGGAAGCTCGCTTCTCGTAGAGGAGAATTTCTTGACTAGATGAGCGAATTTCAGGTTCTCAAGAAATATTCTGTTCCAAGGATTGAGTTTGGTTAGTTTCCCCGTAGAAGTTAAAACATGTGATCATTTTGAAAAGTAAGTATCCGAAATTTTTATTTATACGGAAATAAAGAGTACACGGCTTGTCCGACCTCAAACCTTATTCATCTTCAAAGGTCTTAGTAATTTTTTTAAATACAGCAGAAAATTAAACAAACACAAATATTTCTGACGTTTGTAAATATGTTTGTAACATCTAACTATCCAAATTTCACATCGTATTGAACCAAGTTATTTATCTCGATCGCCATATTGTTACTTTCAGTGTTCGTACAAATAAAATTAGTTAGATAATAACTGTAGGCTTATATATTTATGTTAAAGACGTATTATGGCATAAAGAATGCTAATTAAAACTTCTGAAATTGCAGCCTAAAGGTCTAGAATGTAAATTTGATCTACAACGGAAAGTATCTGCTGTAAATGTGAAATTCTTATTTTGGTTTAGGATCTCCAAGTCAAGAAACAGATTGAAGTGACGTAACTTACATTGCCAATATCCCATGTGCTCTCTTCGGTGGGCAATGCCGGTGTGCTCTCGTCCTCATTGTCTTCGTCATAAAGCTGTATAGTACAGAATTCTGTGGTGCAAACACACGCTTATAATCAGTATTAAATATCTGTGAACATCGCAATTTACACTCGATAAATAAAATATATAGCCTATTAGATTAAAATTACAGAACTCCTTTTACGTTCATGAACATAAAAAGAACAAGTTAGGAAATTTCTTAACGCATAGCGTAACAATTCTGGCTCTTTCGCCAGAATTTGACCTTAGCAAATGCACCGGTGACATCGAAATTCTGTTGGGTCAATAACCTTAGAATCCTAAAATAGATTTAATATTACCCGACTTTTTTCAAGGAGAAAATGGAAATGTTACTCACCATTTTTCTTGATCTGTGGGAAGACGGTGGATTTCAACATGGTTGCGCGCTGTTCATAGGTTTCCAGTTCCACCCAGAAACGAGCAACGGTAGGCTCAATGTGAATGCCCAGGTACGCAGTGTATCCTAAAATGTAGGCGTCGTACAACGTGAGAGTCATAGGCGGAAAGTACACTCTGTCATCCGGTAACATCTGTTAGATAAACACAATTCAGATTATGGAGTTATTAGAATAATGAAGTTGGTTAACAATTTACCTGAACATCCATACACAACGATACGTAATAGGATCTAATAGACAATATACATCAGGCCTATATATATATTTTTTTTTTGCGTAATTCAGTACCGTAAATGAGGGTTCTTATGTTTGTATGTTTGTGCTCTAACAAGAGGCATTTTTCTATAAATACATATTTGGCTAAGCACTTTGTCTTAAATCCTGTGGTCCCTGACTTGAGCGGTGCTAAAGAGTGCATGGTTGCCTTACATTTGAGACGGCAGAGAAATTGGCGCTCGCCGTGTCCGTGTCGGCAGAGACATTGGCGCTCGCCGTGTCCGTGTCTGTGTCCGGACAGGGGTTACAGTGCTCAAAACCATGGAAATATATTGTTGTACTCACCACGTCCAGGCACTGCAAGGGCTCCTCGAAGTTGGGATTGCGTTTAAAGTTTTTCATGGAAACGGAGCCTAAATTCGACTCCCCGCACCACATATTCACTCTCAGCTGCTTCGTTTTAAGGAAAGGACTCAGCTTCAAATCTCGCAGACCCCAGAACAGTACCTCCATTCTAAAAAATATCACAGCAATATGCATGTTCTAGTACAGTGGTATTCAACCTTTTTTGTTCGCGTACCCCCAGATATAATTTCTCTTCAACTTTGTACCCCAAAAGTTGTTGGTGTATAATTCAAGTTATACATAGTATATAATCTACATCTAAAATAAATTAAATAAATTACATTACTGATTATTCGGTGTTTTTCATACAATAATATATATATATATATTTTTAAATTTCACGTACCCCCTAAGATGTCTTCGCGTGCCCCCGGGGGTACGCGTACCCCAGGTTGAATACCACTGATCTAGTATACTACACTGTAATGATTTATCTTTATCCCAGACCACTTTTCTTCCTTTCTTTCATTTCTCTTCTCC